TACAGATTTGAACGTAATTTTGAATATTGAAACCTAAGCTCCCAACCTTGATATTTAGCACATGACAAATTTTTAAATTTTGCCATTGTTTGCGAACATATTTTTTTCACATTCGTGATTTTAACAGCAATACGTGCCTAAATTCGCAGTGAGCATAGAATTTCTCCTAAAATACTGATCAGATTTGAACGAAACTTCGTATGTGAATACCTAACCCATGACCTAACCTGCCAACGGTGATGTTTAGATCGTGAAAAAATTTTTCGATTTTGCCTTCGTTTGCGAGTTATACGATTTTACGTATACGGCTCTTGGTCAATGCAAGTTTCATAATTGGCCTGCGACATGCCGGTCACTTCTATGTAAATCTGTACAACTCGCAAACGAAGGCGAAATCGAAAAAAATGTCACGAGCTAAACAGCACTGTTGGGAGGTTAGGTATTCACATACGAAGTTCCGTTCAAATCTGTTCAGTATTTTAGAAGAAATTCCGTGCTCACTACGAATTTAAGCACGTATTGTTGTTTAAATAACGAATGAAGTAAAAGTGAAAAAAAAAAACCTTGCAAACTAAGGCAAAATCTAAAAAAAATCATCACGAGCTAAACATCACCGTTGGGTGGTTAGGTTTCAATAATGAAAGTTTCGTTCCAATATGTACAGTAGTTTAGAAGAAATGTCATGCATATTGCAAATTTCGGCACGTATCGTCAAATAACTCACGAATTAACATGAAATTCTAAAAATGTTCACGAGCTAAACATCACCGTTAGGTCCTAATGAATACACGTACCAAATTTCATAGAGGCACGTTCATTACTTTGGGAGATATTCCTTGCTCACTGAATTTTGGGAGACCGGCCGCGAGTCCGGCCGTAAATTTGTCCGAGACGTGCATTATGCTATGCCCAGATATTTTCAAGTGACGTTGGTTTGAACTTGCCACTGAACTTTGATCAGTTCCGTAGGATGCTAGGCATTTCAAGACTGAACTTATGCTCCTTATAGCCTTGTCTAGTCTGTCCTTGCACGCGTTCATACTAGGAGCGTAAACGATGTCATCAGGAAGTGAAAAACTATTCTATTGTCGCGTGGATGACTTGCAACTCGATTTTTCGTTTAAAGCAGTGGACCCTGGTGTTGGTTCTCGTTTCCAATTCTAGTAATTCTTCTGGGATCTTGTACAAACCATGAGTATACTTTAATGAGGTCACCATGCAGTCGTCGATAACAGAGGCTTAAAGGCGTCCATTACCTTTAATAATTCTTGACCCTCAAGTAAGATTTGACCTTCAAGCCCGTAATTATACTTGTTGTACGTCTTTGAACACTCTACTAAATTTTTGTCCTGTTCAAGTTTCGGTGACTACACGGCGTTCTCAAACTCTAGGTTCGGGCTCACTTCTTCATCATCATCGCATCTGCATTTAGGACCTCGTGAGAGCGTCTGATCAGTCCAAGAGTGAAGAAATAGAACAATAATGCTTTCGTAAAGCGTGTACTACTGTTGAGTTTATTTTAATCAAGACGCGTAGCTTTTTTTCAACACTTGGTTGATGGTCTGTGACGCGTAAGACCAGAAACCAAAGTTAAGGTAATTGTATTTTATTGATTGATGCGGAAGAAAATCTGCAACTTCTAACGGCCCAATGGAAACTAAACATATCAAACAAATCTTCAAATTGGTCAAATACATTAACTATTTTTTGAATCGACCGTTTATATGAAATTTTGACGAGATAATATCGGATTATAAATTTTATTTATAATCCGAATTTATATTTATAATTTGATTTATAATCCTCTAGTTCTGATTTGATCAGAACTAGAGAGTCAAAAAGGTTAGTTGCAGTTTTCATCAGTTGGATCCAGCTAATTTGTCGATGATTAATTACATCATTCATCTGCAACATACAAAGTAATGCAATTTTAGCCACATGATGAATATTTAGAGCGGGAAGTAGCTAATTTTTTTTTCAAATTCGAGTTCATAACTTCCTATTAAAATTATTGTGACATTACAATCTACCTTTGCAGTTTGTGACGAACTGTTTGTTGGTGACGCGACGTAGTGCACAAGTGGACTATACATTTATTCATGAAAAGTTCACAGAATGTAATTTTTTAACATTTGATTTTGCACGACGGTCACTAATAGTAATACACTTTCTCATTTTCTACGTCCCACCAAGACGTACTAGGATATGTTCGGAACAAGTCCAAACATAATTAGATCATTAATTTATTATAGTAGCCTGGCTCCAGGTTTGAAGGGTTTGTCCAATGTCAAAGTTGAACTTCGTTCAGCTGAAGGTTGAGCAGTTTTTATTTTTCGATCGCCTCCAGATGAGTAAAAACGCATTCATGTGAGGAGAAATAACGAAGGTAATAATAAATATAAGTCCCACACATATTGGTAACTGAGCGAAATCTTATTATCAGGAGACCATATGTTCCGGGAAATTAGCCCACCCTGTTATACAACACAAAGGCAAAATAAGAGGATTATTTTTCGTCCGCCGAAGTAGAGTACAAATCTATACAAACAACAACCAAGAGTTTTTGTCACGCTAGCACCAGTTTTTTACTGAAGATTCCATCGCAACACACCCAACAAGTTTTGTCCTTGAGCTTGAACTTGAAGAAGCCTTTGACATTCAGCCGAACTTGTCTCGCGAAGCTCCTGTGTGTTTTATGGGCGGTGAGCACGGGTACGTGGTACACGGATACGAGGAGCACGAGTACGCGCTGCACGGATACGTGGTCCACAGATACGAGGAGCAAGAGTACGCGCTGCACGGATACGAGAAGCACGAGTACGCGCTGCACGGATACGTGGTGCACGGATACGAGGAGCAAGAGTACGCGGTGCACGTGTGCGCGTTGCACGAATACGAGGAGCACGCCACTCGTGCGTGCGGTGAGCTCATTATGCCTGATTACAGAATTAAAAACCTCATACCTCTCAACTTCATTTTCTAAATTTCGTTCATCATGGGCCGACGACTCTCAGAACTCTTAACTATATTTTTCAAATTATTTGCTCACAAACCCTGTAAGGGTCTAAATTGACTTCTGGAAGGCACAGAATGGGAGGCAGCGACAGTAGGAACCGACCGCGACATGTCAATGGGAAGCCAGTAGTGGTACATAAAGTTAGCCACCCCTGTAACAGCACTGTCAACTTGCTGTAGCGTACCTAAGTGGCTTTAGCATAGCTGACAAGCAGTGCCCTTATTGGTGAGTTACACAACTAATTTATTCTTCGAACCTAGTATTAAATCAAATGATTGGTTATAATTTCGCATAAATTAGGAATCCATTCATCAGCTGAGATTTGTCATTGCGTATTAGCCGAACAAACTGGCCAGTCTTGAAATATTATTTGTTTCATGTGTAGGGTTGCTGAGCTGGAGTCTGAGTGCGTATATCAGATTGAAGGTCGAGTTTGAAGAACTCGTCTGAGGTGTTCTCGGATCAAGGAGGAGTCCTGACTCTTAATTAGACGATCAAGCCGCTACTAGTATTGGGCATCCATTATGCCAAGTATATTGTATATAAATTTAGTGTGTCATTTATTATGTTCAGCGGTATTAACTATTCCACTAAGTCTGGTTTATATAAACTGTTCATGGTTGATAGGAGTGTTTGAATGAAGGCACCTAACAAGAGTAAGAAACGAACCAGAGGAAGCAACCAGTTTCAATATAAACCCTACAAATTCAGTTTTATCATTCGATTCAAGTTAAATTCAGCCTCCAGCAGTTGCCCAAAAGGTCGGCTGCCCAGGTGTAATGCATACAAAGTAACTTAAATGCTCTTAATGGGCAGGAGATAATGTACCATCTAAACCATTATTGTTATGAATGCCAGAAACGTTCCAACCTCGCTTCTAAACCTTGATCGGTCGACTGATTAGACACTTTTTCGAACTCGCCTGCGCAAATGTGTGAATCACAACTCCTGCAATAAAGAACGGATCTGCTTGAAATTCACAACATATTTAGTTATTAGCAGTGCGACGCTGGATGAATTGTTACAGATTTTTACGTTATTTTTTTCTAGTTAAAACAAAACTTTCAAAAATTAGGTTAGGTTAACATAGAGTCGTAGACGATGTTAGGTTAGTTTTAATCATAACAAAATGACGTAAGAATCTAATAATTTATCCAACACTGCTTCACTAATTACTAATTATTTTATGAATTTAAAGCAGATCCGTTCATAATTGAAGAAGTTATGATTGTGATAGTTGCGAAGGCGAGTTCAGTTAAGTGTCTATTCGATATCGGTCCTATGTTCATATGATACTTACAGGAGTGTTTGTGACGTGATCAAGACCTCTAAGCTTGAAACCACAAGGACGCCTTATTTAAATTTATTTCCAGTGAGCCATGTATTGTGGCCGAAGGAAAAAGTTATTAAAAATAAAACTTATATATCGAAATATAACACTAAATTACGTCCTAGAAAATTATTCTTGAACAATTAGAAGCCTATATTTCACTTAAATTAGTGTCGGAGCTACTTATTTCAAAACTGAGGGATAACTGAGCAAGGGATAGGTATTTTATTTCTGTCTATTTCCGTATGTAGGATTTTAATTTACAAATTTGAGTGCCTAATTGGACTGGACTAAATAAAGTGTGAGGAATGGAGAGGAAATTTCCCGTCATGTTTTCTTTATTAATGAAATCGCGTTTCAATCTTGGTCGTATCGCCCCTGCTGAGGCGGTGAGTGATTAATGTCAACTGCAATTAACCGTTCAATAAAATCAGACTAGAAAATAGTACTTTAATCAAAACCTGATCGAATTTTCATTGCTCATCAGAAAACTGGAATTAACGAGTGTCGGTATGAGCTTTCAAAAAAAATTAATAGGTCGAATAAGTCGACTCATAACAGACTCATGCACATTGAGCAAGATGCACAGTGGCGGGGTTATTCCCTACCACAAGACTGACTTCGCCGGTATATAAGCGACTGCAACCGGTGTGAGACATCAGTCTCGTCGACAACAGCAACCTAACAACAACAACATGCAGGTGAGAAAGCGGGCTGAGTTGAAGCTACTCTTTAGACTCGATGTTTAAAAATAGTAACACGTTCCCTTCACATGTGGTCGATTGAATTCAAACGTTGTTTTTTGAATTCAACCTTGCAGTAACAAATGATTCATTTAATGCAGCTTTTAAGGAACTTCTAGAAGTGCGCAGAGCTGGACAGCGCTACTTTGAAATGTAGCGGCCGCTACCGCTACATGCTTTAAATGTAGCGGGCGCTACCGCTACAGTAAAATGTAGCGCCGCTACAATGGCCAAAATTCTTGGAAATCTCTAAATATTTAATGTTCTGCTATTGGGACTTACTCAAAAACATTTAATGATAATAAACCATTTTTCAAAACATACCAAACTTTATTGCAATTAACCTAACCGAAATAGTTCGGGTTAGATACAGTAAATAAAAGTTAGTAAATTTTTATGTTTTACCTTCCCTGCATGGATGTCTCCTTCAATCTACCAATCTCAAAAATTATCCACATATACATAACAAAAATCAGTCTTTTATTTGTATATATATATATATGTGGATAATTTTTAAGATTGGTAGATTAAAGTAGACATCCATGTAGGGAAGGTGAAACATAGAAATAACTGTAAAACAACTGTGCAAACTGAAACATGAAAAAATACTTGTAAGTGGTAACTGGTAACAACTTAACAAGTAACAACTATCATGTTGACACTAGTAACAGGCTGAGGTTGACAACATTACGCTGAAATCTTTCGTACAGTTTTATTCTGTAATTTATATTATGTATGTATCATGCTGGTTTTCAAATAATATTTAATACTATAAAGTAAATTCTAAAGGCTTTATCTATAAATGTAGCGGTAGCGCTGTAGCGGCAAAACCTCGTATCGCTACTTAAATATGTAGCGGGCGATACCGCTACCTCTACATTTGCTTAAATGTGGCGCCGCTACCGCTACATTTAGCGCGCTACTGCCCACCTCTGGAAGTGCGCACAACTCTAAGGCCCCTTTCACACAGGGCAGTAAATACTGCCAGCGTCCGACAGTATTTACTGCCGAACCTTAGCGGACATACGAAATGTGCACTGCTGTTCACACACGACTGCTTTTACTGCGGCGTAGAATTTGACGCCTGACGCCAGCGTCTGTCCTGCTAAAACAGCGGCAGTAGATTTGTCGCGACAGTTTAGCTTGCAATGGTATTCAAAGTAATCTTTCACACTGGGCGGTTTTTGACGCCAGATCCCAGCAGACAGTGGGGGCCGTATTTTAGGTGCATAATAAACAGCACTGCTAGACTGATAGATTATAGACTGATATTGTAACATAAAAATCGGTACATAAATATTGTTACATAAACATAAAGATATACATTGTTAAATATATATTTCCTTAAAGTGATAGAGATATATTTTATAAAAGATATATTTTCCATAAAATATATAGGTATTTCCATAGAGATGTATTTACATCAATTCTCACATAGAGATATATTTTCATAAAGAAATATTGTTACATAAACATAGAGATGGACTGATGGTGCATAAAGCACTGCAAGACTGATAGATCCCAGCAGTAAAAAGCGCCTCGTGTGAAAGATTGCGCGGTAAATACTGCCGCGGCATTTTTGACGCGCGCAGTATCTACTGCCCTGTGTGAAAGGGGCTTAACGGCAACCGTATGATTTGTCCAGCTAGTGTTCAGCTGGTTCTAGCATTTTTGTAACAGCACCGCAAACACAGGCAATTATCAAGTGTCGTCCTCACTGTGGACAGGTGGCGCTCGTACTCTGTTTGACCATCGCCAGTTTGGCCGCGGCAGGACCAACCCGCTTCAACCTACTCAATCCAGGTCAGTTTTTGCGCTATTTTTACAATTTATTTTGGTAAGTTTCTACCACTAAGTTGCGGAATGTAACTCCAATGCATACTGACAATATATAATGTAATGATTATGATTATTGCATTGTTAGCAGAAAGCGATATTTAACGAATTTTATTGACTCTTATAGACGATTCCGACTGATTGCGGGCCATCTATGAAAGCTGTTGGTTAACCGACTCTAATAATTTTGTGAAGAAGTAAAAATTACCGAAATCGAAAAAACCTATCGTTCGTGTTGCTTGCAGGGTTTTTCTACTCGCTTCTAAGAATCGGTCCCGCAAGCTAGCAAATTATCATCGAATTCTGATTCAATTAATAATTAATATAAATAAATCAGCCAGGAATTTAGAAGCATCGCTCTCAGCTCCCGGGCTTGGTTTAGTATTCGCATGAGATGGGCCACCACCGCCATCTATTGGTGTACCCCTGTGAAAATATAACATCGACAGTGAAATGAATGAACTTCCAAGAAAAACAGAATAAGTAGTGCAATTTAATCACGATCACACAGATAAGAAGCCTTCGAGTGCACTCATGAAACAAGATGGCACCAAGTCAACGATTTGATATTTTCTTGTCTATGTCCACTACAGAACATAAAAAGCTATGTGTAAAATTCTACACGGAATTGGTTCCATTACAAACGGATGAGAAAAACGAATCTGTCCTAACCCTAACTCAGATATTCGACGAAAATAGCACAGGAACATCTGATTTTAACTTTGCGCAATCCGAAAATTTTAGAGCCATATCTGCGCTTAAACCTTTACATGATCAAGCATTTGGGACCACGATTGCCGAATCTCAAAATGAAAAAGATAAATATTTTGGCATAGTTGGACCTCTTCAATCTAGAAAAAATTAAACTGCTGATACCGGAGATCCGCAAAAAATTGACCCAGAAAGCTTACTTTTAGTCTAACCTCAAGCAAGCCGATGACGACAGTTTCAGTAAAGCAGCTGCGATCGAACAGTTTCAGGCAACAAATTTCGGAGGAGCAGCCGCAATTCAGCCCTTGGAAAAGACAACTTTGGGAGGAGTTTCCGCAATCCAGCCGTTGCAGGCGACAACTTTCGGAGGAGCAGCCGCAATCGAACCGCTCCCAGCAACTCTCGGAGAAGCAGCGGCAATCGAACAGTTGCCTGCAACAACTTTCGGAGTAGCAGCCGCGAACCAGCCTTTGCCGGCAACAAATTTCGGAGAAAAAGCCGCGATCGAACCGTTGTTAACAGGAACGACTGGAGCTACAGTTCAGTAATATATGCAAAACATGTTTGAAGGCGTGTCTCCACTCTCTAAGACTTCATCAACTTCAGGTCAAAGAGACTACGATTATGACCATCAACTGTACCCCGAAGCCGCAGCAATCCAGCCAAATGACAATTTAGGGTAAAAATTACGTTAAAATTGAAACGAACCAGCAGTTTTTCGATATTGTTCCGTCACAGGGCTTGAACGTGAATTTAACTGTGTTTAACAATGCGTCATCTTTCAACAGTTCAGAGAGTAGCAGTCAGGTGTCAATTTTCATAAGATGTGCCACACCATGTATGTGCTCACCAAGATGAATTTCATGTGAAAACTTCTCTTTCATCCTCAGGTTTTCGACCTTCTAGGTATACATCAGTGGATTTGGGTGCAGTTAACTTTGACGGCAACCTGCGCAGCTCTGGGCACAAGGAATTCATCACGGTTAAGGACAATGATTGGAGCGGAGAACAAGAAGTGTACAGGCTGATAGGAGTGGCCCCACCACACGCCGTGCGTGGAGGTGCTGCTACTACCTACGCCTCAAGGAGCAGTCATAGCGTTCCTATCTACGCCGAGTTGGACGATGAGAATAGCGCGCTTATTCGTTATTTGGTGGACGATGCAAAGCGACAAGCCTCCTTCCGCAGCGGCTCAGCAGGTCCCATCAACGTCAGGGCAGAAGCCGCCGTGTCCGGAAACACTTTCGCTGTGCTTTTGGACGACTAGAATGAATATAATGTGTTAACCTTTCAAGGTGCCGTTCGAATTATTATTAAAATACAAATCTTCAAGATCGGTGCCAGACATCAAAACTAAATACCAACAATAACTATAAGAACTTTGATTAAGAAGCATGTTCGGATGGCATTCTTTAATTAAGAAGTAGGTTTATTTGGCATTCTGTAATTGCCATTCATGAACGACACTTGATAAAATGTTCAATACAAGTGATACTTGACGGCTGAACGCTTTAGCGATTTGACTGAATGATCGCACTCTTTCTTCAATACAAGAACACCTTTACAATTGCCAATAAATTCGTTCACATCGTAAGATATAATAATGTTAGTGGGAAGAAGTTTCATTGCCCTTCGAAATATCAAATAGTGGAAGAGTGAACAGTTAATACCAGACGGAAAAAATTCTGAACATTCACACTTTGAATTATAGTTGAAATTATTATAACATTATTTCCACATTTAAACGAATCTCTTTTCACTTTAAGTTGACAATTGATCATATAATGATCATTTAAAATCAAACAGAACTCGCCTCAAATTAACCTTTACGCTACATTGCCCAATCCAATAAGAAATAAAACCTCAAATAAAACTAGTTCCCAAGGTTAAACCACGCTCCTTATGAAGTTAAAAGTTTACATTCACTCGTATACTCTGAAAGTTATTCTGAAAGCTACCGCGTTAAGAAGTTTCGCTTAATTAGGTCAAGCTACTGCAAACATGCGCAAACCGCTACTAGTTTCCTCCTTTGCAAAAGCAAAATCACTTTCCGACTAAATGCGTCATTTCTTGAAATACTTCTACTTTAAATGGCATAGATGATGGCTAATGTGGAGGACTCCCATTCACAAATTCACGTACTTTTTCTGAGTATAGAATCTCGCGGCTACAGAATACTTTGATAACAAGATTTAAATTTGGCATTTCCGAACTTTTTCTATTGAACATGATGGTGTGCTGGTGCAGTCTTATATTAATTACAGGAAATTGAAAGCATCGACTGAAGTTTTTGACCACGAAAACCGGGCTTGGCGCGGAGCTGAAAGCTGTAATTATTGTATTGCGTTGTTCTCATTAAATAGATGAAATAAAAACGCAAAACGAAGAACGGTAGGATTGGTTCATAAAACGGCACGACTGTCTGGCTCTTTGGTAGAGAACGATTTTTTTCTGAATTTAAATATTTTGAGTTACACGTAACTCGCCTGGTCACGCAGCAAACATTTACGCCTAACCTTAAAGTCTTTCGTAAATGAATAAACGTTAACTGTTGGCCACTACAGCGGTCAAGAACCTCCCTTGTTCCGTTCAGCCTGTCTCGTAACGGTGTTCCAGGGCTCTAGTTTAAACGTGTTGAAACTTTTCTGCTACAGGCAATTTTTTTCTGAACGACGCAAAACATTGCAAATAGCGCATGTAAACTTTCTTCTTCTGTTTTTTTTTTATAGATTCGGGAATAGAAGTGACATCAATCCATCGCTGCGAGAGATAACAGGTGTCTGGTGTGAGGGATAACATGTGTCTGGGGTGAGGGATAACAGGTGTCTGGGGTGAGGGATAACAGATGTGTCTGGGGTGATGGATAACAGGTGTCTGGGGTGAGGGATAATGAGGGATAACAGGTGTCTGGGGCGAGGGATAACAGGTGTCTGAGGTGAGGGATAACAGGTGTGTCTGGGGTGAAGGATAACAGGTGTCTGGGGCGAGGGATAACAGGTATCTGGGGCGAGGGATAACAGGTGTGTCTGGGGTGAGAGATAACAGGTGTCTGGGGTGAGGGATAACAGGTGTCTGGGGTGAGTGATAACAGGTGTCTGGGGCGAGGGATAACAGGTATCTGGGTTGAGGGATAACAGGTGTCTGGGTGCGAGGTATAACAGGTGTCTGGGTGCGAGGGATAACAGGTGTCTGGGGCGAGGGAGAACAGGTGTCTGGGGTGAAGGATAACAGGTGTCTGAGGTGAGGGATAACAGGTGTCTGAGGTGAGGGATAACAGGTGTCTGAGGTGAGGGATAACAGGTGTCTGGGGGCGAAATATAACAGGTGTCTGGTTTGAAGTGTATTCCTTCTTTTCAAAAACTATTAACAGCAGAAGAATTAATATTTATATAAGTTATACTAAGCAGATTTCGTGAAATGACATTTAATATACCAAGAGGTTTTCAATTATTGTACTGATAGCGCCATTATTTGTTGTAGCACCTATAACTTTCAAAGATCGGGTTCGAAAGAGAACCTAACATCAAATTCTGCAACAATCGAAACTTATTCATGACAACAATTCTCCGGCCGGATTTGCGGCCTGGACTCGCAGTCGGTCTCCAAGATTTAGTGGACATCAAATATATTCCAGGCTAAAAAACGCAGCATGATGAAACATTACACTTGCTTTTATTAGGCTATAACGGTGACGTTTAAGGCTCTGTCTATTTGTTCGATTTCGCCTTCGTTTGCGACGAATAAGGCTATACGCCGAATCTAATACATAACCGTAATTTGTATGAAGCATCATCACTTTATTACATTTCACTTACATCGCAAACGAAGGCGAAATCGAAAAAAATAATCATTTTATTAAACCATCGCTGTTAGATCCTACTGAATAAATGTGCTGGTTTCATCGAGCTGCGTTCATTAGTTTGATATTTCATGTTCACTGAATCTAGGAGACCGGCCGGATTAGTGTCCGAGAGGTTACAGTGGTTAGTTAGGATCACAGTCTGCGCGAGATGGCCGACGGGGAACGGCCCGGAACGCATCCTTCTGTAGCGATTCATACCAAGAAAGCCTCAATTTTGTTGGAAAATTTCCAAGGGCAACTCAGAACTAGCGAAATAGGAATAGTTTCAATAAATATAATGGAGAAAGAAGTACGGAACAGGTCGCTTGCTAATTGATAGAAGCAATTGAGAACCATAACGTAGCTGATACCATAGTTGAACTAATACCTACATGTATTATTGAACTAATACATGTTTTAGTTCAGTGGTTCCCAAACTTTTTCAGGCTGGCGCCCCCTTTGGCTCCCTTGTGAATTTCTAACGCCCCCCACAGACACATATAAAAACATACGCCTCTCTCTTGAAATTTAGAACGCTGCAATTTTAAAAGATAGAGGTTAAAAACAAATGTGTATTTCACAAATAGAACCCCATTTAGTGAACCAATATGTTTTTCAGCTGTTTTAACTGTTTCAGCACTAGAAACCTAGGACGTCTCGGGCAAATTTACGGCCGGACTCGTGGCCAGCCTCAGGACCAATCTCCAAATTCAATTATCAAGTAATATCTCCGAAACTAATAAACGCAGCTCAATGAAACTTGAAACATGTACTCATCAGAACCTAACGGTGATGTTTAGCACGTGAAATTTTTTTAATTTCACCTTCATTCGTGAGTATTATTGAGCTACAGGCCAAAATTCGCAGTGTTCAAAGAATTTCTTCCAAGCTACTGAACAGATTTGAACGAAATTTTGAATATACATTGCTAACTACCAAACGGTGATTTTTTAGATTTAAAACATTTTTTGATTTCCTTCGTTTGCGATTTTTCTTTTCATTTCGCCGTCATTCTTGATTTCACACTTTCGTATATTCGGCCCGTATCGCCGGGTAATTTGTCGCTTAAATTCGCGGTGATCAAAAAATTTACTCTAAACTACAGAACAGATTTCAGCGAAATTTTGTATATAAATACCTAACCTCCCAACGGTGATGTTTAGCTCGTCACAATTTTTTTATTTTGCTTTCGTTCGCGATTAATACAGATATAGGAGAAACGACCGGCTTTTCTACCGGCCGTTTTAACCAAGAGCTGTTTACGTGTAGCCATATAACTCGCAAACGAAGGCAGAATTGAAATAATTGTAACGAGCTAAACATCACCGTTGCTGAGGTTAGGCATTTAAATACTAAGTTTCGTTCAAATCTGTTCAGTAGTTTGCAATAAATTTCTTGATTACTGCGAATTTAAGCACGTATTGCTGTTTAAATCACGAATGAAGGTGAAATGAAAAAAAAAAAATCGCGAACGAAGGCACAGTCGAAAAAATTTTCACCAGCTAAACATTACTGTTCGGTAGTTAGGATTGTAAATTCAAAATTTCGTTCGAATATGTTCAGTAGTTTGGAAGAAATTCCTTGATCACTGTGAATTTCGGCCCAGATTGCCATATAACAATGGCAATAACAAATGAAGGCAAAATAAAAAAAAATTCACGAGCTAAACATTACCGTTAGGTCCAAAGAATACGTGTACCAAGTTTCATCGAGTTAAGTTCATTAGTTTGAGAGATATTCCAAGATAGTTGAATTTAAAAATTGGACGTGAGACCGGCCGCGAGTCCGACCGTAAATTTGTCCGAGACGTAAAACCAGGTGAAGTTAAAAAAACAAATTTGGGTGAAAAAAAAACATCGCTGGGAGTCATGATGTGCTGCACGTGTTGTGTATAAATCGTCAAACGAACGTTGGAACTTCTGACTTCGACTTCAGACTGCCGCCCCCCTATCGCCCCCTATCGCCCTTTTCTTCCTTACCGCCCCCCAAAATCTTTCCATCGCCCCTAGGGGGGCGATATCGCCCACTTTGGGAACCACTGTTTTAGTTCAACCATGGTCGGTAAGATCTCTGTAGCGGGAAACCACTACCGAATCGACACTTGTCCGAACCCGCCTGCGGACTCCACGCACAACCTAACTTTTCGCTCAACCGAACCACTCATAATTCCTTCAACACTGAGCGAATTTGCTTGAAATTTGGTATGTAAGTATGTATTGCCCTGTGATGTCCTGTGATTGGAAAAATTACAGATTATTTCAATTAAAACGAAAAAACGCCATTTTTAGGCAACCGAACTCGGGACTAGGCAGAAACACATCACTGACAGTCTAGAATAGATTCAAGAAGGTACCCAATGAGTGAACACCATGAGTTTCTTCGAAATTACATATATTGCCTCTATGTGTACCTTTTCACACATTAATTTGAAATATTGGAGATTTATCTAATTTTTGACACTTTGTGACCTAGCGCGGCACTTATGACTACTTATATTCAGTTTTGAAGGAGTTAAGAATGGTTTGGTTGCCTAAATTTTTTTCTCGTTTTAATTAAAAACGAAGTAATGTAAAAATCTGTAATTATTTCAGACACAGAGCATTGATAATAACTACTTAAATTCAATATTTTCAGCATATCCATTCAGTATTGAAGGATTTACGAGTGGTTCAGTTGAGCTAAAAGTTACGTTGTGCGGTGAGTCTGTAGGCGAGTTCGCAGGCGGGTTAGGAAAAGTGTCGATTCGGTGGAACTACGAGTACTATCATGTAC